GGCTCACTGCAACCTCCACCTCCCTGGTTAAAGCGATTCTCCTGCCTCAGCCTCCCGAGTAGCTGGGACTACAGGTGTGTATCACCACTCCCGGCTAATTTTTGTATTTTTGGGTAGAGACAAAGTTTCACCACGCTGGCCAGGCTGGTCTTAAACTCCTGGCCTCAAGTCATCTGCTCGTCTTGGCATCCCACGGTGCTGGGATTACAGGTGTGAGCCACTGCACCTGGCCAGACATTTAAAAAATAAAAAAAAGGATTTTGGGCCAGCTCCATCTTGGAATGTGAATCTTCTGCAACTAGTTTATGTCCTAACAAAGTCTTTCCATCCCTGGGAAGCCTCTCCTTCCAGCATTATGGGTGACCACGGCTCCCACTACAGAACAGGTCACATAAGCCATGGTCCCTAAGGACAGGGAAGGGGGCATCTCCAAAAGCCAGACTGACTAGGATCTGGCAATAAACTCCCACCACGCAGGTCAGCACACATACGGGACAAGCCACCAGTGAGTGAGTATTGGTGGGTAGGGAGGACCACCCAGCAGCGGGTATTGGAATAACTAGCTGTTCATCTAGAAAAACAATTACAATGGCTGAGTGCAGTGGCTCACACCTGTAATCCCTATAAACTTTGGAAACTGAGGCAGGAGGATAGCTTGAGCCCAGGCATTCAAGACTAGCCTGGGCAACATGGCAAGACCCTGTCTCTACAAAAGTGAAAACCTCAGCAGGGTGTGATAGCGCACACCTGTAGTCCTAGCTACTCGGGAGGCTGAGGTGGGAAGATCACTTGAACCCAGCAGTCTGAGGCTGCGTGAGCCATGATTGAGCCATGGCACTCCAGTCTGGGTGACAGAGGGAGAGCCTGTCTCTAAAATTAAAATAAATAGACTGAGCATGGTGGTTCACATATATAATCTGAGCACTTTGGGAGGTCGAGGCAGGTGGATCACATGAGGTCAAGAGTTTGAGACCAGACTGGCCAACATGGTGTAACCCCATCTCTACCAAAAATGCAAAAATTAGCTGGGGGTGGTGGTGGGTGCCCGTAATCCCAGCTTCTTGGGGGCTAAGGGAGGAGAACTGCTTGAACCTGGGAGGCAAGGGTTGCAGTGAGCTGAGATCGTGCCATTGCTCTCCAGCCTGGGCAACAAGAGCAAGACTCTGTATCAATAATAATAATAATAATAAAATTAAAGAAAAATAGAACTTTTAAAACATGAAAAAAAAAAAAAAAA